TCTTCTCAACAGGAATTTTTTAGCAAGATATGGAGCTAATTAGTGGGAGGGTCAGGAGAAAAGGAGCAGCTCGGTTTCAAGGAAGATTGTAATGGATGGTTGGAAAGCTCTTAGAAACATTGTTAGATGGCAAATTTCTTCTGGTTCTTCAATTAATGTTCTTAAGGATGTATGGATTCATGATAAAATCATTGTTAAGTGGCCTACTTTTGTTGCGGATTTAGAAGATGATGATATTACACTTCATGCATTTATTGAGAATGGATCCTGGAACATACAATGGCTGAGTCAATTTTTTGGAGAAAGTCTTATTGAAATAATTATTCAAATTTAAATCTTTCCTGAATTGATTATGGATCGGTAGGAACTTCAATTCAAAATGACAGAGAAGACTATATATGCTCTAATTTCAAAGAAACAGGTTGTGAATGAGGCAAAGGTGAATTACTAGCCCTGGGCGAAGAAGCTGAAACTAAGTCCTCGGGTAGAGACTTTCTTAGGGAGGTTAATCAACAAGGCTATTCCTACTACTGATTTTCTTATGCATAGAAGGTTGTTGAATTGTAATCTATGTCCAAGAGATTGCAATGCAATTGAAGATGATGATCATATAGCTGTTACTTGTCTTAAATTAGTTCAAGTTATTAATTGCATGAAATCTTGGGAATTCTATGTTCCGGTTTTTTGCTCTTTTCAAGAGTGTATAAGAGACTTGGAAAGGTTTTCTGTTTCTAATCCTTTCATAGCTGAATTATATTCTAATTTGTTATTCTTTTCATGGATTGGTAGAAATAAAGTAAAGCATGGTGGTGTTGAAGATAGTGCTACTTTTATTGCTTCAAAAGTAATTAATTTGATGGTCACTTCTCATCATAATAAGATCTTCTCGAAATACTGAGGTGTTAATCAATCTTCCCGACTATTTTCCACAACTTGGGACCCTCCTCCCGAGTGGATCAAGATTAATATTGATGCTACATTAACGAAATCAAATAAAGCAAGAGTTGGCCGAGTGGTAAGAGATAATAAAGGAATGTTCTTGTTAGCCTTTGGTTTTAATTTTGTACATTGGGATATTGCACAGTTGTAGTTGTTGGCATTCAAATCCTTGAAGAGAGTTTTGCAAAGATGGATGCAAGAGGTAGATGGCATTATTATTGAAGGTCATAATTGGAACATTATCAAGTTTCTTCAAGATTCCTATGTCAATTCTGAATTGTGGTTGGAGGACTGAGTGGTGGAGGATTTGTTTCTAATTAAAGGTGTCAATAATGTTTTATTTCATTATACTAGTCGTAATGGGAATAAGTTAGCAGATTATTGTGCTAACTTGGCAGTTTCTTTTGATTTTATTTGGGATGTAATTAGTGATAATAATATTCCTCCTTTTGTTTCTTTGTTAAAGGAGGAATGTAATAGGTTGTCTTTACTTTAAGTAGTTTGTATCTAGGTGTTTTTTTGTTAATGCAAGTTGCATTTTCTTCCAAAAAAAAAAAGTACTACTAGCCTAGATGCTGGAACAATTAGAAGGATTGTCCTCAACATAAGCAATAATTATGTAAATCACATATTCAAGGTAAATGCATCTTGTTCACGAATCTTGGAAAATTCATAGCCTGCCAATCATAAAAACCTCTTTGATAAAACACAAATACTAGACAGGCACTCATGAAGTCTATCATCCACGATTCATGCATCTCAACTTTCTCAGTTCAACATCCTCATCCACCCCTTTCACTTCTTACTTGTTCAACAAAGAGAATAGCTTAAATATGCACATTACAATCTTCATCAAAAAATATATCATTCTTTGTATCCATATACCTATAACTAATATGGAGTGTTACAACTGTTCAATTAAAAGTAAAAAATAAAGAACAACATCTAAATTAGATGCTACTTGGTTGCAAGTATTCTAAACTCGTGCATTTTGAAAATGCAATGTATTCTAACTAGTTTGAGCAGTTTTGTTGCTTGTAAAGCAAACGCAGGAGCATAACTTTTTTATTCAGTTGGATGCAAAGTTTAGAATATGAGGCCTTCGGGCAAGGGCAAAGAGCAAAGGAATTATTAAGGGCGAGGTTGAAGAAGATCAAGATAAAATGGTAGTATGTTAGTGAGAGTGACAAATGTAAAACTTGTGTTCTTCAAGCCCACGAGAGGCGAAGAGAGCTTGCAAGTGAAGGCTCAATTCAATGTGTACTACTATTGCAATGAGTAGAGCAAATGGCGCAAATATGAGTTGATTGTTCAGCAAGGATATAGGAGCAAAACTTGCAAATTTTTCATGAAGGAACAAATTTAAAGCATTTAGAAATTGCTCGATTTTAGTAAATTTAGATTGATAGGAAAATTAACTTTTGAGGCATTTAAATACATTGGTAATTCATTTTCTATTTATTTTTCTTTAAATCAACTCCCAAAAAAATAAAAGCTCATGCATTTATTTTAGTTTAAACTCCTAAAACTTGAAACAAAACAACCCTTTCTTTCAACATACCACAAAAATCTACTGTTTTTATGAATATATCACTCATAACCATTATGAACCCTTTGCCTTAAAAGGTTTGGGTGTTTAGGGTATGAATCAATACAAGATAAACTTCTTCTTCCCTCCTACAATCAAAAAATGCTACAAGTTGCCTATAGGCAACATCAAACAAATGAGGCCACCATTTAACCATGAAGATTGATTCGAAGTCTTAATGGACTAGCCCTGATGAGCATAAGCTTTTAATGGTGAAATGTGTGTGTTTATTTGAGCTTACTCAAATCAAAGTTGGATGAAGCAATTATACAATAAAAATCCATTCAAAAAGATTTTAGAGCTTGGCATCCTCACTCAAAGCATGAATTGAACACATTTCAATCGATTTAATACAACTCACAAATCAAGTGAATTTTTATATAAAAAAGGAAATTTATGATTTTTATTTAGAGACATGCATTGTTTTGTAGCCAAGCCTAAATACGCATTATTGGATACAGCACCAAAGCCTATCACTAATTTGAGCAACCCATGAAAAATTTTGAAGGGTTTAATTAAATGGGTTTGGATAGCGCATTTGACATGATTAGCACTACCACTGACCCTCATGCAGTTGGTTTTTGGCCATTACCCCATGTTACATGTCTTTTCAACTACTATTGTCACCTGCCTCACTCCATAAGTAACCCCTCTAGCCACACACTATTCTTTGCAAAGATGAGGGAGGAGAGAATAGAAAGAAGAGTAGCTAACAATTTTAGAAAATTTTGATGGTTTTAATAGAATAAACATTAATTCATATTACAAAAGTTTGAATAATTGGGTTGTAGGTCCCAAAAGTTTAAATTGTATTATGATGCCAAAATACATATTATGCACCATTTATAAGTTGTGCTACAACTAAATTTGTAATTTAAAATGTAGACTTCCAAATTTCTTCTTAAATTACTAGAGAAAAAAATAACAAATTGAAGCTTCAATATTACATGGGAAATCATGTCCATCTCGAAAAATAATTGACAATCAAACATGCTTCTAGACGCATATCAAATTTCCCCTTGTGAATTTTATAAGGCATCATCAGTGTACCTGCAACTAAACGACCAAAATCAACAAACCTGCCATGCAAACCCTTAATTCCCCTATTGTAAAGACTCCCATATCAAAGATATGGCATGCACTGACAATTTGGCTATATAAGCCTCCAAATAATAAACTAATACGGCCTTCCACTCTTTACCATTCTCAATAAGCACTAACTAAAACAACCATCTACAAGCTAAGAACTTTACATCATAATCATTCCAATAAAAGGAATCAGCAATATTGTACATGCACAAAAAAATAAGTGACAATTAAGACTGCTTCTGTGCGCAAATCAAATACCCCTTGCAAATTTAGAAGGCATCACCAGCATACATTCAATAAAACAAACCAAACTCAACAAGCCTTCTGTGCAAACATTTAAATTCCCAATTGTAAAGTCTCCCATATCAAAAATAGGCATGCCACCTCCAAATCATAAACTATGATGTTCCTATGCTCTATACATATTATCGATTGCTCTAGGAAAACTTCCTAACTTCGACCAAAGCTCCCATCTACAAGCTAAAAATTTTACATCGTACTCATTCCAGTAAAAGGAATGTAAGGTACTACAATTAACCATGCCCAAAGAACAACTAATAATTAGTCATGCTTCCATACCGAAATCAAATTTCCCCTTGCAAATTTTAGAAGGCACATCAGCATACGTTTGACTAAGGAAACCAAAATTAACAAGTAATTTAGTCACCCTTAAATCCACAATTGTAAAGTCTCCTATATCAAAAATAGGCATGCCCTAACAAGTTGACTCTATAGACCTCTAAATCAAAAATTAATATGTTCCTGTCCTCTTTGCATATTATCAATCGCTCCTAGAAAACTTCGTAGCTGGGATCAAAATTCCCACCTACAATATAAGAAAAGCTAAGAACTCCACATCGTAATCATTCTAGTAAAAAGATCAATAGTAATGCAATTAACCATGCCCAAAAAACAACCTACAATTAATAATGCTTCTGTACCCAAATCAAAATTTTTCCTTTATAAAATTAAAACAGCATTACCAGCATACCTTCAACTAAAGAAACCAAAATCAACAAGAATTCTGTGCAGACCGTTATGTCCCCTTTAATAAAGTCTCCCTTATCAAAAATAGGCATGCACTGATAAGTTGGCTCTCTAGATCTCCAACTCATAAACTAATATGTTCCTACTCTCTTTGCATATTATCAATCGCTCCTAAAAAACGTCATAGCTCGGACCAAGACTCTCATCTACAAGCTAATCATTCCAGCTAAAGGAAATAGCAGTATTGCAAACAACTGACAGCCTCCCACTCACCACAACTGCTGAATTTAGGTGCAACTCAGGATGGAGTCATACAGCTCAAAAAAAAAATGCATAGAAATTACAGAAGAGATAGAGAAAAAGAGGGCGAGACCGATGGTGCTCGTGGTTTGCGTACCATGCCCTTGAGCTCCGCGGGAACCTTGGGAATGTTGTCCAGCTGGCCGATAGTATTGGCAACAGATGCGAAAAGCGGCTCAGTGACCATGGCCATGGCATTCTTGCTCTCGTCAAGAGCCTGGACGACGTGGACGACTCCCGGGTGGCGGATACGCAACAGGCGCGAGGCGTCAGCGCGAATAACGTCGAGGAAGCCGTCCTCTGTAGCCCTAGTAAGGCCAGCACGGGTGCGGGCCTCGGAGAGCGCACGCTTGTCTAGGAGCCAGACGCATACGACAGGGTATTGCGTGGAGGGTGCAGAGGGGCGAGGCCGCGCGGCGTAGAGCTTCCAGGCGAGACCTGGACCTCCGGATCCGATCTGGTGGAGGAGCTCGTAGTCCTGGAGAGGACGAGGTCCCGTCACCTCTTGCACTGTGGTCTGAACTGTCTTCTCGATCACGGCGGCAGTCTTTGCCAGCGCCTGCGTCAGGCTCTTCATGTTCAGGGACATGGTGGGCAGGCTGCCGCCGGCGATCGTTGGCAATTAAGTCTAAATTTGAATCGGGTTTGGGTTCCCTGGGATCAACATCTTAAGGCAAAAAATACAGGTAAGAGGAAAGGCCAGCTACACCGCCCGACCCTTCTGACCTCTCCGACGATTCCTCTCTTCTGTGCTCCATCAGATCGCGAACAAATCGCGGTAAAATGCTCCGCGGGATTAAAATATGACCAGGACGACTAGTGTTAAAATAAACATTTAAAAAAATAAGCTCATTCTCCTTAAATTTTAATTTTGACTATTAATCAAAAATTTTGAATTTTAAATTTATATATCTATTATGTACATGAATTAATTTTAATTGGAATAAATATTTCAAAATAAATGATTGTAAAAGAATAATTTCAATAAGTCACTTCTCTATATATAAAATACAATTATAAAATTCTTTTAACTGTCATTAAGAAAATATGATCTTTGAAAAATATTATGAACCTCATTTTCATAAATGAAAGTTTATTCTATTCAAAATTTTGAATCACAAAATTATGATATGGCTTAGTTCGGTGGTCCTCAACATTTCTTAAGCAAAATTTTTATTTATAAAATTGGTTCAGACCTAAAAAAGAAGAATTTTTCTTTATTTCTTTATAGAATAAGATGCATAAGTTTCCTCTTACTTGTTGAAACCCTAAGGAAATATAAAATTTTATGAGCTACATTGACTCTCTATTTGCCGCTACTAAGTTCATTATTGAAAAAAAAAACAACTTATCATACTTTCGTCAGGATTTTTAACATGCCAAAAATAACTCTCCTCTCTCAGAGGAAATTACCATTTCTATTTTTAGTAAAAATCAAATCCTGACAGTTCAATTTGATTGCAAACCAATTCCTTGCTTCAGTTACGAATAATTAAATCTAGTAAGCCTAGAGTAGGGAGAGGAAATTTTGGTTAATCTCAAAGGAATCTAAATCTTCCGAGCTAGGGGGAAAACTTTATTTATAGTCAGGAAGTTAAAGTTGGGTGATTTTAAAATAGGTCGTGATCTTAATTATTTTAGTAGTCCATAGTTGAAGATTTAATGTATCTCGAACAAGGGAGGAACTTAGTTAGAGGTGCTCTCCTCTAGTATTTAAAGATGTGATATATCGCTAGTCACATGTGGAGGGTAAAGAAATGATCTTTTCAAAACATGACTTTCCTTTACATTGGGGGCCTAGCACTCACATAGGTCTTCAGTTCTTGGGGACCTTGGCTTATCACAGGGAGTTGTTTAATATTTTCTTTTAGCTCAAAACCTAGAGGGGGATTGGACTATCCCATGCTATTTATGTTATATATATATAAACCCACATCGGGGTCTACGCGTTAATTAAAAGAAAAAGATTACAAGATCCTTAAAGGGGACCTTCAGCTCTCTAATGCTCAAAAGAGCTACAAAAAAATCCAACTAGCTGATGGTCCCCTAAACTATAAGTTATGAAACCACCTAATAACATTCTAGGGTTGCAAGTAGAAAACACAAAAAAAAATTAAAAAAATAAAAAAATAATCATTGAGCATATTTTTCTGCAAAAAAATAGACATGCCCTTCACCAAACAAATTTTCCCCTTAACCTGCAAGAGAAAACAAAAATAAGAGGAAAACAAACATAGCAAACAAAAGAGAAAACTCAAAGGATAAAATTTAGTTAAAAGAAGATCACCATAATATTTATCTAAAAAAGATGTAGAGATACCCTTCAGAATTAATGATCAATAATCTGTAAATGGAAATCATGAAACTAGTAGAAAAAGAGAGACAATAGTCAAATTCCAATAAGAAGCAACACCTGGAAATCCTCAGCAAATAACTAATACAAAGCACGACCATCCAACAGTAATAAGAAGAAAAAATCTACTTAACAAAGGGAAACCCCTGAAGCATTAAAGGAGAAATAAAACTCGTCAAACGACCCCAGAAGGCCAAAATAGCATACGATAACATCACAGAGAGCAGCTGGTAATCACAAGCATCAACCCCAAAATTATGACGCCATAACCAATCCTACCATAATCAACAAAGCAGCAACACAATAATCCCAAAGCAATAGGAGCATACTAAATAGAAAATAATTCATCTCTAGGAACCAGAAAAATAAACACAGCAATCTAGGAACTAAATGAGGGAATTCACCAAAAAATCCAGGCCAAAAGAGCTCAGGAAGATAACCCCACAACAACCATCATGATGAAAACCCAAATGCCACTCAGTTCTAAACCCATACTCATTTCTGCATAAAAAGTGCAACATACTAGAGTAAAAGTTAGCAATTGCAGATAATAGGCCATCATAACCAAAATGGCAGTAGAAATACAATTCTAGATCCCATAAAACAGCTAGCAAAGATAAGGATAAATATAAAAACAATTGATACCAAACAACAATAAATCCAACCAAATGGGCCAACCCAAAGACCAGCCTACAAGAAACCCTCATAAATCTGACAACCACTATTAAGAGAGTTGCTATTTTGCATGTTTTATATTCTTGCAACTTGTATTATTTTGATGATTTCAATTATTATTGTTTTACATATATCTCCTAACACTATTTGGAATATTTATTTCTTGCTCTAGTGTGTACTAACATTTCAGGAAAATCAACTCCAAGATATTGAAGACTTGTAATCAAATTCAACAAATTTTCATATTTTTTGATATGAGAAGGAGTGATTGTAATTGAGTGAAAAATCACAATATACACACTTGGGAATTTTTTTTAACTGATCGTACAGGACGAACTTAGTTCGTACGGGATGATCATGTCAATTACCCCTCCAAAAAGCATCTAAATTCTAACATAAGATAAACCCAGCTTATCCAACCTAATCATACCTTTAAGTAAATTAGGTAAACTGGTAATAGTGAAGTCAGTAAGATCGTTCAAATTGCAACCCAAATTAGCAAGAAATCAGCACATTAGTTATCTTTCCCTATAAACATGAGTAATAGTAAAGTTAACAAAAATTAAGAGCTGATTAATTTCATGGATAAGGTAAAAAAGATTCAGATTGCAAATACTATCTATTTTCTTCATAAGCTAATGGATACTGGAAGCGGTATCCACCTCAATCCAAATATTGGTAATACCAAGTGAAATACATAATTTAAGACCATTAAAAGTATCAATGAGCTCAACCAACACCACCGAGCACTTCACCAATGGGGTGGTAAAGGCTATAACCATGTTACCTTGTGCATCCCTAATAATACCACCACACCCATAAGAGTTATTCTTCATCGCCCTATTAACATTTAATTTATAAATATTATTTGGAGGTTTAATCCACTGAAGTAATTTATGTTCATCCAAAGTACTTCTATAGTGCAGAGATATACCAAAACTATGAGCCACAAAAATGTAAATATTAAAATTTTTGGAAGTCAAAAGTTGACAGAAAAAAGATTGCACACTTTACTTTTAATGTTTCTAATAATGTTATGAGAGTCCATCTTACAATTTTTGAAAATAGAATTATTTCTAGCATGCCACCAAAACCATAATTAAAGAAGGAATGACATTTTTAATATGCCCTTTAGAGTTAATGAACCAGGAATTAAGCAAAGTTTTAATAGAAATATGAGATCTAAACTAGTTTAACATGATAATATCATCAAAGTAATACCAAATTTTAACATCTATCAAACCAGAAATAAAGACATGATGCATATTTTCTTCTTGAAAGCATCATTGACACTTGGAAGTAATAATAAAACCTCTCTTTCTCTTATTATCATCAGTAGGAATATAATTATGCATGATTCTCCAATCAAAAATAGAAATAGTCATAGAAATTCTCTTATGCCAAAACATGGAGTAAATTTTTTAACATCAAGCTTCTCCCTGAACTCATGCCCGACATCTTTTAAGGAAAACATACCATTGTAACATAAATCATATAATAATAAATCCTCAAAATTAGTATTAATAGGCATATTCAAAATTCTAACAATAACAATTTCAGGAATGATATCAAACAATTTATTATAATCCCACCTGTTATTAGTAATAAAAGCATCTACTTTAGTAGTGACTATGGAGCAAGAATAAAAAAAGGACTCAATGGACGACCATCAAGCCACTAATATTGCCAAAAAAAAAGAGGTTAGCTTTACCTAGACCCCATTTGACATGAGGTTCAACACTCCACTTGATATTACACAGCCTTTTCCACACCTTCGAGTCACCATTATTATAATAACATATAGTAGGATGCTTACCAGCATAATATTTCTAAGTCATGAACTTGGCCCACAGAGAAAGTTTGGAAAAAAATTAAATCACAGTTTATAAGAGAAAGCATAAGATAAATCCCACATATTCTTATAGCCCAAGGCCCCTTCTTCAAGAACACAACAGTTGTCTAAGAGGACCAAATAATTTTAGAATTCACAATTGAACCATGCCAAAAAGAACTTATTAATTAATTTCTCAATCCTATTACAAACAATACGGGTAGGTTGCAAAGTTTGAAAAATATACACATATGAGGAGCACAAAACTTTTTTGATAAGAGTAAGTCTACCTCCAAAGCAAAGAAAATTAGAATTCCAAGAATAAAACTTATTATGCACATTAGAAAAAAGATCATAAAAAGAAAAGACTTTTTCCTACCCTTGTAAAGGGGAACCCCAAGGTACTTAAGAGGCAAAGAGCCTTTTAAGAAACTAGTACTATTCTTAATGGCAAGCATCCGATCATGAGAAACCTTGTTAGAAAAAATAAAACACCTCTTATTTTTATTAATAGAAAGACCACTGCAACTTTCAAATTTATTTAAAAAAATTATGATTCTCTTCACCCTGTTAAGAGGAGCATTCAAAAAAATGATAACATCATCAGCAAAACATAAACGAGAAACAAGAAACCCACCCAAAGTTTTATAAAAGTTGCTGGGATGATTCTCATAAAGATTTAAAATTCCTCTATATAAATATTCCATAGCAATAATAAAGAGAGCAGTAGAGATGGGATCATCTTGTCTCAAGCCATGAGATGAATTAAAGAAACCATTACTTTTATCATTAATAATAACAAAGAAAAAGAAATTTTCAATAGACTATTTAATAAGGTTAACAAAAACTGTATTAAATCCAAAAAAAAATCAAAACATGATAAAG